ACTGAACATACAGATGGAAAGAAATGCAAGTAGCCCATCATTTACATAATTTCCCCTTCCCTCCCACAGATACAGCAGACATTAACACTAGACATAAATAACCTCAGAAGAATATATGATTATAAATTATTAGGAAGTGACAAGTTTTGAGAATTTATTAGCTTTGTTTTTAATATAATTTTAAAAATTGTGAGCTTATATAATTTAGTTTTTGAAATAACTATATTTAACAACTGGCTCAAAAAATTCCTAAAAATTTAACAATCAGTTCTCACAAGCCAGAATTAGCTGGTCCTACTGTATGACAGGATTAATAATGCCTTTTTAATGATTTGTCATTTTAGTATATTATTGAAAAACTGACTTTTAACTTGCTGCTCTATAGCATTCAACTACTTTTCCTCATATACTGGGATGATTTCCTCGGCTTTTATTGTGATGTAATTGACAGATAACTCATATTTTGTTAACACAATAGTAATCCATCCCAATTCACATAATCTAACCATAACTCTCTAACTGTGGTGAAAAAAGGATGACCCTTAGGTGGAACGAGATGAAATAGAAGAGTTAAAATATTGGGTTGTCGGAAAAGTCATGACGTATTTTTTCTATGTTTTCCATTGCAAAAATACGTCATGACTTTTCCGACAACCCAATAAAATGAGGTATGGGTAGGTAATCAGTACCCACAGGTGGTTCTCAGAGGAAAGTGATAGCAACACAATCGGGTGCAAGGTCTTACTAGGAAATGGTAACAGGGCCAAACTTTCTATTCTGATTCACTCTGTTTGTAAGAAGACTAGTTAGTGTATCAGTGTTTCTTTGCAGTTCTCTGGAGTAGTGCCAACCATCTCCTTACTCCAAACACACATGACCATGAAGGGCCGTGAACTAATGCTGAACCTGCACACACCCTTTCATTAGTTGAGCTCCATGTGCTGCATCAGCAGTGCCTCGTTAAGTCTCACCACACCTCAGTGTGGGCGTCGGAGGGAAATATCATTCTCCCCATTTTACAGATGGAAGAAACAGAGGCTCTGAAGCAAGTCAACAATAGCTGAGGCTAGCTGGTTGTCAGCCTTCCATTCCAGTAGGCTCCCTTTTCATGACAATAGGATCTAAGGTCCTAACTCATATTTTCTGCTTCTATCTTACCAGGTAAGGCTGTTTTATTATCTGAAATACCAAGGAGTTATTTTAAGCCCTAAATTGTATGATTCTGGTTTTGGTCTTTGTTGACCCTTCCACACTTTATTGCATGCATAACTTTATAGTATTTTATGTACACTGTTCAATGTAACTCCAGTATGACTGTAGGACAAGGGAAGTGCTGACAAAAGCAGAAGACTGCACCATTCGGGTACAAATAGAAAACCAGATACTATGTTTTGGTCTCCATGTTTAGCAGATCACAAAGTATTCATAATTGCCAAAATAGACAATAGACTTTTTGAACATTTACTGTTTTGGATACGGAGTTTAGTGTTTTATATGCATTCTCTCATTTAAATTATTTTAGTCTTTACAACAATTTGTGGCTGGTATTAATATTGCCCCTATTTCACTGTTGAAAAAAGTGAAGTTTGGAGAGTCTGAGTGAGCACAGCTGGCCTCTTGGCCATAATGATCGGCATAGAGATAGACTGTCACCCAGCAGAATCCTAACCCAGCATTCCCAGCTGGAACTGGCAGATGAACCCTTCTCTGGTCACAAAGTCACTGCGAACCCAGTGAGGTGGGCTCCCAGGTTCACTTTTATGTGAAGAAATCTCTGCAGGAGGAGAGAATGAAACCCAGACACAGAGAAAAGCAGAGACAAGGATGGGGAGAAAGAATTTTGATGGCATTCAAAGTCTTACCTCTGAGTCTCTGCTTCCCTTATGGAAGCTAGTTTGTGGTCAGCTTTTGTCACTTGGCCACTGGGAGAGTCCCAACCACCCAGGGTTTACACATCATGCTATCCTGCTACTAGATGTTACCATGGTTGCTAGCACATGAGAGCCCACAATTGGGCCCCTGAATTTACCGTGATCTGTCAAATCTGTAAGCAGGAAAACTTTCCCCACAATATAACCCCTCTACTTCTAAACACATTCTGTTTCTCATCCAAAAGGTTCTTCTTTGTCTCGTTACTTGGCTCAAGCCTCCTAATGCAATACAGTATCTCGTGATTATGTGGACATCTTAGGGTTGATGTGCATTTTTGGTCTTCTGACCTCAAGAGGCAGGAGAAAATCATGATACTGGCAATATAACAACAGATGACACTACTGGCCTCAGCTGTGGGTCCCCAGACTGTATGAATCCATAGGCCGGAATTTTTTCTTTCTGATGGAGGAAGGGTTGGGGGAAACATCATAGAGTTACCAACTTTTTATTTTGCCAAAAGGGCTAGTAGGCTTAAATGTATCCTTCTCCAACTCTTCATTCATTCATTCATCGAAAGTCTAGTAAATACTCTGCTGTAAGCCCTGAGGGTATAAAGCAATCCTACAGTCAAGTCACTAGAAGACTATGAAGGGTCACACTAATCCTTCTTTCTAAATTCCACTCTTAACTACACTTGATACCTTTGCTTATCTTCCAGAATTTAGGGGAGAGTATATGGAGACAGTCAGTCATTCTTGTTGGCAATAGTATAAAATATGAGTTGGAAGCAAGGAAGGGAAAAGGAAGTAATAGGAAGCCATGGCCATGGGGGCTACAGTAGATGGCGTGGCCTTGGGCAGGTGTGGGGAGCGGGGCAGCACAGGGGTTGACGGCCAGGAGCTGAGGGAAGTGCGGGCCTGCTGTGGTCTGATGTGCTTTGGAATGAAGTAGGTGAGGGTGACCTTGAGGATTTATCACCCTGACATTAGGCTTGGGAGACGGCAGTACCCCTCCTCTCTGTGCAACTGAGTAGTGAACTACATTTGGCCAAAGGCGCTTTTAGGATTATAACCAGAGGAAAACTGAGCAAATCAGTGAGAGAGGCACTCATGTTACATATAGGAACAGACATGGGATAAAAACCCCTTGAGGTGTGTATCATTGGTAGTCTCTTTGTTTACTGTATTATCTGTTGTTTTATTCTTCTGAAAGTAAAAATTTTCTGTTAAAGCTTTTGTCTACTCATTTGCATCCCCCAACTTGATTTCTTTTAGATGGCTTTAAGTTCTGAGTCCCAGTTCTCTCGCCAAGGGGGCTTCAGCAATGTGGCCCTTTGGGGAGTGTGGCTGGCACCTTCCAAGGTGGCCCCTCATGTGCCCCACATGTCCTTTTCCTTGCATAGTACGCTTCCCACACTACTCAGAGTTGGTCTGTGTGACCTATAGGACACAGCAGGAGCGATTGGATTTCACTTCCAAGATTAGGTTTTAAAAGACACCATGGCTTCCAGGTCAAGTGCTTGATCTCTCCCTCTCTCTTGGATCTCTCATCCAGGAAGCCAGCTGTCACATCACAAGGACATGCAGACCGTCAATGGAGAGGCCCACAGGCAAGGAAACGAGTCCGCTAGCTAGTAGCTGAGTGAGGCCACAAACAAGGATGTGAGTGTTCCTGGATGGATCCTCCTGCCCCAGTCAAGTCTACAGATGGCTGCAATCTCATGAGATAGCTGAGTCAGAACCAGCCAGTGAACTCACTCCCAGATCCCTGACCCATAGAAATTGAGCCATCACACGTTTGTGGTTTTAAGCTACAGAGCCTGAGGGCTACTTGTTACGCAGCAATAGGTAACTGATGCAAGGAGGGAAATCCGTCTCTCCTCCCTGCTAGCCTTACTCTCTCCCTCATTACTTCTGCAGGGAGAGATGTCCAGGTCTCTGACTAGAGGGGCAGGGACATCGTCACTTCCTTTGCAGGACTGGGGTACTGGTATTTGGAATGAGATATAGAAGGGTATTTTCCTTACATTGATCATCACACATTTGTGATCCCTTGGCTATACCCTGCCTTTTGGATGTTTGGATGATAAAGCACACGTAGAATCTGGAGGATGGTGTAGACAGTTCTTTTTGCCTCTGTCCAGCTGGTTGGAGTGTATTTTTGTGTGCCTGTAGGCTTAAGGAACTGGTCTAAATAAGGAAAAAAACCCTTTGTGTTTTTCTTATTACAAAAGCAATAATATCTGTAGTGTAAAAAATTAAAAGGCAAAACTGTTAAACATCCGTAATTCTACTATCTAGATATAAATACTGTTAACACCTAAAACATCTCTATAACTATGTGTGTCTATTTTTCAAAAGTAAGTAATATAATATGTACTATTGTTTTGTGACCTGTTTCTTTGATAAATGTATTGTGCCTGTGTTTATGTCATTAATGTGCTATGTTATCTACAATTATAATTTTAAGTGGTTACATAGTACCCCATTATAAAGATGTGTCATTATTTTTAACCCAATTCCTTGTTTTGGACATAAATTAATTTCCATTTTTGCTATTATAAGAAATGCTGTAAAGAATATGTGTGTAGCTAAATATTTGTATCTTTCATTGACTTTCCCCCATTTAGGATAAATTACTAAAGTAGCATGGTTGGATTACAGCATATATACATTTTTAGAGCTTTCCCTACATATTGATAAATTGCCTTCCAGAGAGCGGTCCTAGCAGTTTCTATGCCATGAAATTCGTTCGTGTGTCTATTTTCTCATACCCTTGCCAGCACTGAGTAATTATTTTTTCTCTTTCTGATCTGGTATTTAAGTAGGAAACACAAGGATTTTTTAAGAAGACTAGGTTACACTCAGAAATTGGCAGCAGCTTTGCATGTGGGCAAGCCTCACTCAAACCCAGTGTCCATTCAACTGTGAGGGAACCGAAGAGATGAATTGAATCAGTCTTGCCCAGTTTACACCTAGAAGATGAGAAGAAGAATGTTGAAACTCATATGTATGTGTTCAGGATGTAATGAAGACAGTCAAACATAAAACAGTCAAACCCTTTGCTCCTGTAATTATATTTTTGGGAATTTAGCCCAAAGAAGAAATCCAGTGAAAAGAGAAAGTGTATATAAGTGAAAAAATTTATTGTAAAATTTTTATATTAGGGAAACAAACAGTTCAACATATGAGAAATGGTTTAAGAAATTGGGGAATGTCAACTCAATGGAATTTTATGCAGTTGTTAAATTAGTAATTACAACGATTATGTAGAAACATTGGCATGAGTTCACAATGTAATGCAAAAAATAGGATGTAAAATTCTTAGCATTTAAAATTATATACTCGTTAAATCCACATAGATGAAGACTGGGAAGAGGTGGAAAAACTGAAAACAGTGTGAGAGAGAGAGTGACACTCGTGTCTGAAATTTTTCTTGAAAGTCATCGTTGTGCAATTACAATGGACGGTCATGGAAAATGCTTGGTCAGCCCGTTACTTAGGGAGGCCTGGCTGAATATTGGAGAGAGTGAGAGAGGCGCCGGAGGCCAAGAGAACTGGGCTGGACGCCAGGCTCCACTTCATACCAGAAGTATGAGCCCAGACAAGTCATTGAACTTCCTGTAGCTTGGTTTACAAAACTGTAAACGTGGATGAAGAAGGCCCACAGCGGCAGCTGTTGGGGGAAGGGAGCCGAATGCGTGGAGGCAGGTCTGCGGTAAGTGCCCGTGCGTGGTGACGATGCTAAAACGTGACACTGCTCTTTTTCTGTCTGTATTTTTTCGTCATTATCGATACCACAATAGAGAGGAGGAAATCAAGCAGAGGGAAAATATTTGCAAATCTATTTCTGGCACATGTAAACCGCACCTTCTGTCCAGGACAGAAGGGAGTGAGGGAATGGAGACTCTCCCTGAGCGGGCTGTTACTGAGCAGGCCTCGGAGCACCTCTACCACCTCTTGCTAAGTACTATCTCTGGGCACCTTGACAGATAGTGACATAGCATAAAGAGTATCACAAAACCGCACACGTCTGCTGTGTACTGTAGGAGAGCAACAAGAGATGGTTAGAAAAAAATTTCGGGAAACAAAATCTTCCATAAGATCTATCCCCTTGTTGTTTGTAAAAATCAGTATGCCGTCTAATTTGGGGTCTAACTTGCAGTCTAAGAGTCAATGTTGGCTCTTGTTAAGACAGTGGTTTGAAATCAGCCAGTAAGAGCAAGCTGCACTGAATTTTGCTCTCTATGACATTAACGCAATTTGCAAGTTACATTTGGATTTCTGGAATCTCTCAGAGGGTGAAGAGAAAATCGACTGACACAGATATTTAGCAGAGAGACCCAGCGGCCACCCAATGCTGAGAAAGCTGTGACCTGCAGGGATCCCCTTGTGTCTGCTCAGGGACCAAAGGCTAAGAAGCCAGGACAATTTCTCAACTACACCCCCCATCTTGTAGGGAAAAAATCAGCACCTTGTTTGTCCCCAGGCCTTTCTGACAAATTCCTCTTCCTACTGAGTTTTTTTTCTTTTTCCTCTTTAGACATTTTTGAGCAGTGACAGCAGCTCAGACAACTGGCGTCATTGCAGTATGAACACGCAGGCTTGGTGGCCCTCTTATGCAGGCGGATGCCATGTCAAAGGCATGTAGTCTGTGCCTTTGCTGAGTAGTCCGTGTTACACAGGGTTTGGGGAGCTAATCTCCACTAGTTCTGTTGTGGGAGGAAAGGAAAGAAGAGATGCTCTTCCCCATGGCATCTCTCTCCTTTTGTTCCCTGGAATTATGGAGACCAGGAAACCCACCGAGCCTCTTGAGTTAGGTGGAGCTCTCCTTAAAACCTCCAAAACAGATGGTGTGGATCATGGTTTGAAAGATCCCAGGACAGATGTCCTCCCTTGTTAACTGGTATCAGTGCTTACCCGTCTTTCTTCTGAATCACTTTTTTTTTTTAATTAAAAATTATACCAATAATAGTGGAAATTTTAAAATGACCCTCCTCCCCAAAACACATGCAAAAGCTCCCCACCTCAATAAACCACTGCAACCATGTTGCTACAGTTTACCTTACTGCAGAGAGAGCTGGAGGTCAGGAGACACTGTTTTATAAAATTATGGTATTTTTGAGAGCTTGTTACAAGCACAAACCAGTGCTGTTCCTCTAGGGCCTGCTTCACCACAGGCCCTGCCATCAGAAACCCCAGCTAAGAAGCAAGCCCTGGCCTCAGGCTTACGTGTGTCCCCAGCCTCCAGAAGATAAGCACACACACCATGCTTTTGTCACTCTTTGCTCTGCTCCAGGATGGGCCTCAAGTTGTGAGGCTCATCAAGCGTCTTCTGGGGAGCGTGGTCACTGTGCCCTCTGGCAGCCCCCTCGGTGTCTGCGAGTGATTCTTTTTCTTTTTTTTTTT